AAATGTTTTGAGAATGATGTACAAATGCGCTTTACACAATTGATGTGTGTATGGATTGCGATAACAGTTGTATGAGCCCCTAATAATATGTTTAATAAAAATTAAAAAAAAGAAAACAAGGAAGCAAATTGAGGGCAAAAGTCAACGGGCTGGAAAACAAACAGTAGACAAAAATCAACAAAGCCAAAAGTTGGTTCTGAAAAGATTAGGGAAATTGATAAGCTCCTAGAGAGCAAAACCAGGCGAAAACACATGTGATCAATGCACAGCCGGGAAGGGGGCATCACTACCGATCATACAGATGTGGAACTGGGGGTGGGAAAAACCGGCACAACCTTCCCACAAGGACGCTAGCCCCAGAGTGGACACTAGCCTCAGAGTGGACGCTAGCCTCAGAGTGGACGCTATCCTCAGAGTGACGCTATCCTCAGGATTTCACTGGTGAGTCTTAGCAAACGTTGAAGGAAGAAGTAATCACAGACTTTCAAAAACTGGCTCAGACAACACAGAGTGGGACACTCTGCCCTGTTTTGTGAGGCCCAATAACTCCCGATACATGGTTGTGCATGACAAGAACAGAGAATTACAGCTCCGTACCTCTCATGGACACAGAACCCTTAACAGATTACCAGCCAATCCAGTCCAACCACACAGCACAAGTGATGCACTGTAACCACACATGGTTTGTTCCAGAAACACAAGAAGGGTCCAACATAACAACAAAAAGTAGAACCCACGGTCCATGTGGTTCACTACCCTAATAGACACTCCAGAATCCACAGCCATCGAGTTGATGCTGACTCACAGCAACCCCACAGCACAGGCTAGACGGCCCTGAGGGCTTCTGAGGCTGCCGCTCTTTACAAAGCCCCGTCCTCCCACAGAGTGGTTGGTGGTTTTGAACTGCTGACCTTGCAGTTATCGGCCCAACTCGTAACTCACTACCCACCAGGGGCTCCCCGTAACAGAGAGGCGGAGGCAAAATATGACCATCTCCATCGGTGCAGGATTAGCATGATACGAATTCAACGTCCCTTCCTGGGAAACTCTCGGACTCACTCCAAGGAATGGAAGTCAAGTCCCCCAACCTGGTAGCGTGTCTATACCCAGCATGGCATGGTGGACGAGCAGATGCTTTCTTCTAAGACTGGGCACAGGCAAGGATGGCCACTGGGTTACCACTGGTTTTTCTTTCGTTTTTAAACCAGTTCTGGCCAGTTTTATCAAAGAAAACTCGTCTGCTCTAGTTTTCCCCAGTCTGTTCCAGTTTCTAATGATGGCTGAGCGGCCTGGGTCAGTGACAGGCAATGGGCACTGCTCCTGTTCCCTACACGCTGTGCCCAATTTGCTACCATCGCCACTGTAGTGACGGACACCAGGGTGGGCCAACATGGAGAGCTCTCTACCGGCATGTCTCCAAGGACCGGCGTTGCTGGGGAGGACGAACGGCTGGCTTTGCCTTGTCTGGTCACCTTCAGAGTCCACTCACAGCCCGCGATTTTCTACTGCCCAGCACGAGCTGGCATCCAGAGCCGGTCGGTGGCAGAGACTTTGTCTTCTTGGTGTCCACCACCCTCCTTTCTGCCTTTTAGGGAGGGGACACCCTGACCACCAGCTCGGGTGGCCCCAGGCAAGGCCGAAGCAAAGACAATGGCGTGGATGAAGTGAGATGAGACCCTACTTTGTAGAAAACATGATTGTGGGTACGCAAGCTCCAACTCGCCCACAAACAGGTTGCCCCACAAATCACTGCATTCAGCATGGCCCTGGGATAGCGACCCTCAAACACAAAATCCCGTGTTGGCTTTCCCCACACACCAGCAACAAACCACTGCAAGCAATTGTGGAATGCAGACGCAAGTCGCGAGAACGAGCGGAGAAGGCTCCAGGGAGTAGGATGGTGTGATAAGGCAGATCCAGACAGGGCCGAGAGCATCCATGCCCGATGAACCAAGGCCCAGAGCACGTCCACGAGAGGACACAAGTCTTTCCAACACAGCTGGACATCCACCTGGTGACCTCGATTTCACACTGAGCCCGTAAAGGGATTCATGATGGACCATAGGCCTAACTGCAAAACTGTCAACGCTGAAGCTTCTAGAAGATGCCAGTGACTTCTTAGACAAGAGACAAGAAACCCTCACTGGCAAACTCAGCAATATGGAACCAAACCAAACAAGCCCACGGACGCTGAGCGGACTCTGACCCACCGGGACCAGACAGAAAGAGCTGCCTCTTGAGAGGAGCTGAATCCCGCATCTTCCTCCCTTGGGGCGCTTGTAGGGTCAAGCTGGCCAGCTGAGTGCTTCACTGCTGAACCATCAGCTCCCTCAACACTTGGCCTTCCTCAGAAGGGAATTTCCCTCTCTGTGCACCGGAAGGGAGTTATGTGCAGGAGCCAGAAGCGCGGCCCGGGGCTGTGTTTGTGAAGCCTATTCCTGGCAAAAGACAGAACTCTCACCCCACCATAGTGAAGCTGTCCTGGTGTGGTCAGCGGTTCAAACCCCACAGCTGCTCTGAGGGAGAAAGATGAGGCCATCTGCCCTGGCCCTGCAGAGCAGAACTGCTTGGTCCTGGAGGGTGGCCTGAGTCCGAATCCCCCCTGAGGGCAGTGAGCTTGTCTCTGGGTTACGGTGACCCTGCCGCTAGCTGGGGGGCTGACCTGGCCTCCACAGGGCTAGGCTTAGCCTTCTCCTCTCTCTCTGTCTTTGGGCCTCAGGTCCTCATCTGGGAGGGGCTTCAGGCATGCCTGTTCTTTGTCTCTCTGAGCCAGCAGGAAAGGGCCCTCCTGGGCCCCCCTCAGGCTAGCCCAGCTGGGGTGGTCCCCAGCAGCTCTTGCAGACTGAAGTCCAGGCCCAGGCCTCTCCGGTGACACTGGAGGTTCCTGGCCCGGGAGGGTAAAGTCTCACCGCTGGGCTGGGCCAGCTGAGCTGCCCGAAAGGGAGGGAGGGAAAGCTGGCCTCTCCAGGACTCCGTGCCCTGTAGTAAGCGCCCCTGAGCCACGGGGAGCCCTGTGGATCTCAGGGCCCATCAGCTGAGGGTGAGGGTGTCTGGCCCAGGGGAACCCTGCCACTGCAGGGTTCTTGGACAATGGCCAGGGAGTCATGGCAGCTCCCCGGTGGCTGTCCCTGCGGAGTGAAGCTGCCATAGAGAAAGCACACCGACTACAGTGGACATGACCAGGTCAGTGGCCTCAGCAGCACTGCCCTCAGCCTAGTCCCACTGTGCCTGTCCTTGCCCCTGGTCCAGGGCAGAGTGACCAGTTCTTTCCCATGGGGCCTGCTGGGTGGGTGGGGGCCACAGCTGCCTCCCCCTCTGTCCTCCGGAACATGATGTTCCCAGGAGGGACTGGAGTCCCCCTCTGCCCCATTCCCCAACCTTGAATGTGAATTCTCGGGGCAAGGGACCCTGAACTCCCAGGTAGGGCAAATTGGCTGAGTGTGGGGCAGTGGCTGCCGAGGTCCCACTGGGCAGGCCACTTCTGCCTGGGCCTCACCTGCACGTGGTACTGCGAGGTCTCGTGCATGATGACATTGGAGTTGGAGTATTTCTTCCTCTGCTCTGAAGGACACACATAGCTGCTCAGCCCAGAGGGTGGCCCCTGGCCCCAGTCCAGTGGGAGGGACAGGCTCCCCGGGGGCACAGGGGGGCCAAGGTGAGAGCCCTTCACAGCCATCAGGGAAGACCTTTCCTGAGATATGAGTGGAGCCTCCTTCAGGGCCATCTCCCCACGCCCTCTCTGGGGTGACCATGGGGGTGGGGGGCATGGTCTAGTCTTACAGGGTGCAGGAGGCTCAGACCCCTCCTACAGGGGCCGGGCTCCCGGGGAGAGGTCCAGGCCAAGGCTTCCTCTGCCTTAGGAGCTGCCCCTATAATCTGCCTGCCCCTCCCCAGAGCCCCTCCACTTTCTCAACTGTCCTTGACCCTGGTCCGAGGGCAGAGTGACCAGTTCTTTCCCATGGGGCCTGCCAGGTGGGTGGGGGTGTGGCAGGGGAGGGCATGAGCCGGACGGGAGGGGGAGGGGCAGTGTTGAGGGAAGCAGGACCCTGTGGGACCATCAGAGCTGCCTGTCATAACCACCCCCCACCCCGGCTTCCCACACATCTGTATGGAACTGCCTCTGCTGCTCTGCTGCCCAGGACATGTCTGGGGTTCCCTCCAGGACGGGGAGGGGGCGGGGTGGGGGAGGAAGGGGAGGGCAGCAGACACCTGGCGACTCAGTCCTGCCCAAGCTCCACCCCTGCCCAGCGATCAGGTTGCAGTGTGAGGAGCCCATCGGGATCAATATTGATGCTCCCTGAATTATTTGTGAAGGTCTCTCCCCTTACCAAGGAGGCGCGGCCCGAGCTTCGGGAGGGACTTGGGCCAGTTGTTGGCTGATCAGGGTCTGGGCCTCCTCGAGTCCCTTGGGCCGGCTTGATTCTCTGGCCCCACAGTTGGAGCGTGGGGTGTGGGGGGTTCCCCCCTCACCAGGCCCCAGCATAGTGGGGGACTGAAGCTGCTCCCCACTTTGTCCAACCCGTGGGAAGGTAGTGCCCCAAGGACTCACCAAACAGGTCCTTGGCGCTCATCTTGGCCATCCCATCAGACCGGCCCAGGCTGCCCCTGGGAGGGCGGGGAGGGGCTGGTGAGGGCAGGGCGGGCCACCCCTGGCCCCCAGGAACTCTGGTGAGTGGGGAGGGGAGGGGAGGGAGGGGCTCACTTGGCTGCACCCAGGCAGCAGCTCACAGACCCTGACTGGCTCATGGTGTCTTCGCAGTGACCAGCTGGGGGAAGGGCAGCCCTCAGCCCTGGTGGCGCAGCCTAATTTCGGGGCCCACACTGGCCCACACCTGGAGGGCAGAAGGACAGGCTGACACCTCCTCTGGACCCATTGATGGCCTCAGAGCTCCTGAGACGAGTCTTCTCTCTGCCTCCCTCACCCCAGCCCCCATCACCCTCAGCTTTTGGCCTGGTCTAGGCCACTCCCTGACAGTCTGGGGGGCATAAGGGCCCACATAGGGGCTCCAGTGAGGCCTGAGCTGGAGTCCTTAGATGGCAGCCCCCTGGAGAGCTGTCTCCCTAGGTGCTCCCTCTAGCCTCGCCGCCCTAAACCCTCAGCCTCCACAGGGACCCCAGGGACAAGCGGACAGAGGGAGGAAGGGTGACCCTCCCAGGCAGGGGGAATGGCATGTCCAGATGCTCAGGCCTCCCCATCGAGGGCCTGACTCCTGAGAGGGCCAGGAGAGAGAGGGACCCTAGGAGGCACGGTCCTGAGAGAGCTGGACTAGGTTCAGCACGTGGACCCAACGCCCTGGAAGACTTGACCTAGGAAGAGGCCCAGGAAAAGACGTGAGGCCATGTGGGTGGGGACTCAGGGGTCCTGGGTGCCTAGCAAGGAATCCAAAAGTGGGCTGTGGGCCTCTTTGATCAATGGGGGTACAGTCAGGGCTGGGCCAGGAGAGTGCCCTTGACCATGGGACTGTCTGGAGGAGGACATGGAGGGGCAAGGCTGTGTCTCCCGACACCTGAAGGCCAGGAGCAGCCCAGAGACTGTGACCAGGCAACCCCACCTTCCCTGACCAGGTGGGGGCATGAAGGGGATGGTGGGAACAATCAGGGTGACCACTCCCTTGGGCAGAGCCTTGGGAGCCTGCTTCTGGGCTCCCCAGCTCCATGCTGGGACTCTGAGGCCCAGTTGCTGGGCTGTGAGCAGGTCTGGCGCCCCTGACAAGGGCCAGGATGTCCAGTAGGTCCATGGGGGCCTGTAGTGTTGGTCTGACCCGGGTCCCTGTAGGGGCATTGTGCGCCCCTGGGGGTTGTCCCTCTGTGGGTCTATGACCAAGGGTCACCTGCCTTCCCTCTGTGGCTCCAGCCTTGGGTTCTGCACCAGGAAGGGGCACGGCAGGGTGGGAGGACAGGGGTGCTGGTGCTGGGGGCAGGGAGCAATTGAAGGGCCATTCTCTGGAGGTATGTGTCCTGGGTGCTTGGGCTGTTGCCCCTCGCCCATGTCCTGGAGGGTCCCCCTGGCCAGGAGGGTCAAGCCAGATTCCTGGTCCACCTATCCATGAAGAATGTCTGGAATGCAGGTGACCTCAGAGGGTGAGCTTGAGTACTTGCTTCCTGGGATTCCTGGCTGGCTAGAGCAGGCACACAGACCTGCACTAATTAAGCACAGGCCCTCCGTGTTGCCCAAGCCAGCTCGAGGACAGGAAGGGCCAGCAGGGACAGGGGTGCGTCTCTGGAGGGGCCTCAGCCCTGGGAAGCCTGTGGCTTTGAGCTGGAGGTGAAGGGGGATGTCTCAGGGGCAGCAGGAGCCCGGTTGGCTGTGTAGCACCTGCCCTCACAGTGGGGAAATGGGTGGGAAGGTCTGCTGCCAGTCGGGGCTCCCCCTGCCCGCCTGCACTTTGGTCTTACTGTGGCCATTTTCCGGGTGCGAAGGGAGGGGCCAGGAGGGCAGGGAGGGCACAGGGCCTGGCTCCAAGTTCAAATTCCAGCCCTGCTCGCCCAGTGACCTTGGGAAGGTGCAGCAAGTCGGGCACCTCAGGGGCCCCTGGGGCCGCCCCCGCATGTGTGGGTGGGGTCTGGGGAGACCCCTCCGCTTGGGCCAGGAGGTGTGGCTGGGAGCTTAGACAGGGGAAGCCCCGTGGGGCCTTGGACAGGGCCGCCCAGGTGTTAAGCCGGGCCCTGGGGTAAGGGTGTTGGGCCCCTCCGGCCCTGCTCCACCGCCCCGCCCCCCTGCACAGCCAGGGGAGAGCTACACCCAGGGGTAGAGGCAGAGGTGGTCTGCAGCTGCTTCGCCCCGCCCCCAGCCACCTGGTGCCCAGGGACAGTCCCGGCCCAGCCCTCCCTGCGCAGGGAGGTGGAGCCAGGGGCGCGGCGGGTGGGGCACCCAGGAGTCTCTGCCAGCCCACCCTCCAAGGGCAGCTCCTGGGGCTTCCCACCATACCCCAGCCCTGACCCGGAGCCTGACCCGGCCCTGCACTTCCCCGCTGGGCTTCCTGCTGGCTCTGGCACCCAGGAAGTGCAGCCTGCGTCCCACCTACGGGTGCAGCTATGGGGCCGGGGCTGGGTCGGCCTAGGGGTGGCGGACCAGTCCGAGTGGGGAGAGGAGGCTTTGGAGGGGCAGGGCCGAAGTCCCCCGCCACCACCCGGTCCCTGGATTCTGGGGACCCCACCAGGCCCCCGGGGCAGGGAGGGCATTGCCTGGGCCTGTGACTCATCCACCACTAGTTTAAAGGATGGCCGCGCAGCCGCCGCCCCAAGACCGGAGAAGAGCGGGCAGGCCAGCGCTCAGGTGAGCGGGGCTGCCCGCAGCGTCCCCAGTCCCCGGCACCCCGCGCCCCACCCCACGGGGAAACTGAGGCCCAGCCAGCTGTGCCAGCTCCCTCGGTCCGCTCCTTTACCCTAGCACCAGATGGGCAATGACGGGGACCAGGGCGCTCTGGGTCCCCGAGACGGCTGGGCGCCTCACCTGTTCGCGGCGCCCCCTGGTTCTGGTTCGGTCGGTCTGTCGGTCAGCAGGAGCGTCAGCCTGCCTGCCCGCCCGTCCGCGCGGCAGTCTGTGGGCCCCTGGGTCGCGGCGCCCAGTCTGGGCGGGCCTGTGGGATACTGCGCGGGCCGCCGGGCGGGGCAGGAGGAGAAGGAACCTGAGCGACAGGTTACAGAGTAACCCAGAGGCCCCGCGGGTGCGCGGGAGGCGGAGCCGGGGCGCCCCGCCCACCAGCGCCCCAACCTGGGCTTTAGACCCCACCCGCAGGCCGCCCCACGGCCCCAATCCTGCACGGACCTTACCCGAGGTCCCCAGTCAGCGAGGGGCCCTGCGGGATGCTGCCAGGGGCCCTGTGGGAGACAGCGCTGGGGTGGGGCCTCAGAGGGCTCATGCAGGCCAGTGACCCCCACACCCCAGGGGATTCAGAGTGCAGTTGTCATGGTCCCCCGGGACCCTCTTTGGTGGACCTGTCTGGTCCCCAAGGCCACCCAGATGGGTATGGAGATGGGAAAGGGCCCTGTCTCCTAGCCACACTTAAAATCTCACTGCCAGCAGTGGCTCTCCAGCAACAGGGCAGGGCACACCTGCCTCGGAGGAGCAGGCAGACCACTACCCCCAATGGCTTCCTCTGTGCAGGGACCCCTAACCCTCCTCCTGGTTCTGCCCCACCCTGATGGGAAGGTGAGGACACGTGAGCCAGTTTGCAGGCTGGGGGGGTGGTGAGGCCACTTGACCCCTCTCCATCTCATCTGAACTGCCCTCCTCAGCCCCTACCCTAGGCTGTGGCCAGATTGGGTGCCCTGCCCACCCTAGCTGACTGCTTACAATCAGTGGCCCCTTGGGGTTGTCAGCCAGACTGCCAGGTACAGGCAGACCAGACGGCGTTGTTTGTGGGTGGGTAAGGGGGGAGACGGTGGCAGTTTTCTGGGGACCCAAAGGCTCTGCCAATTCCTGGGTGGGGTAGGGAGAGGCCACAGAACACAGGGAGGGCTTGCAGGCTGGGCAGCTGGTGTGGACCCTGAACTGCCATCCTCCACCTCAGCCTGGGGCTACACTGTGAGGTCCCAATCCTTGTGCCTGCCCCTGGTGTGACCTACCATCCTGGCTCTAGGTCACGGTCCATCACGGCCCCTCCCACCCCCACCCCCCAACCTTTGGGCTTCCTAGGCATGGAGCAGGTGGGTGCTGCTTGCCTGGTGGCTGGCTGTCACCTACAGGCCTGTCCTTGGGAGGTTCTGAGCTGAAGCTGAGGGCCGGGCTGCAGGCCTGGGGGTTGTGTGGGCCCTACCCCAGCAGCAACACAGGAGGGTTGCTAGGCCAGAGTCTGCAACCTGAAGTCCCGGCTTGCCTGGGTCTACAAGAAGGCATGGAGCACGCTGGCAGCAGCGCCACCTACCTGGATGCCTCACCAGGTGCCAGGATGGCCAGTGCCCCGAGGGGACAGGTTGGAGGAGGTGGACAGCGACTCCCTGACCCGCCTCTGCTGAGCAGGCCCACAAGTGTTGTGGATTGTGGACAGCAGCACTGGCCACCAGCCCCACAGGTGGTCCCAGCTGCAGCCCGCCCCAGGCAGCGAGGCAGGCAGTGGGTGGAGAGGCGCAAGCCCCGCCAGTCCCTCTGTGACCTGTGGGTGCTCACGGAGGCCAGTCCCCAGGACGGGAGGGGGAACTCCTGACCCTGCAGCTACTGGGGGGAGGGGGGCATTGCTGTGGCTGGGCAGGGGCGGCTGACTCAGGCGAAACAGCTGGTGCAAACGTTTCTTTATTTAAGCACTCGGTGAGGGGAGAACAGGACCCGATTCCAGAGGAAGAAGGCTCGCTGGGGACAGTGGGGACACCAGAACCAGCTTGGTGTGCAGCCTGTCCGTGATGGACATGGGGACGCACTGCCAGGCTGCTCTAGGTGGCCAGTCAGAGCCAGCAAGGCCCTGGGGTGGCTGAGGGTCCCCATTTCTTCCGGCCTTTCCTTGGGGCGGTGGTGGGGCTGCTGAGGCTGTGCTGGAAATGTTTCTCTCACTGGAAAGAGCAGGTGCCACTGTCCGTCTGAGCTGAGCTGGGCGTGAGTGGGGCATCTGCCCTAACTCAGCCTGACAGGCCCAGCGCTGCCTGCCCCCAGGGGGGTAGGGGGGCAGAGGTAGACCTCTGACCCTGTGCTGACTGAGGCCTGGCAACTGGGGAAGTACAGATCAGAGCACTGGGGGCCTGAGTCGGGGATGGGGATGGGCCCACCCTCAGGGCCAGCTTGGAGATGCTCGGGGGAGAACAGGCCCATCCTTACTGGACAGCAGCACCAGCAAACTCGTGGGCAGCCCCTCTGGGGAGTGTCTGGCCTGTGGCAGTGACTTGGTGGGCCCTGCCTCCCTGAGAGCGAACCACCTCTGGGCTTTGGTGTTCAGCATGGCCCTCAGCTGCCCGGACCTTCAGCCGATGACCCATCATCTACCACGGCCATGATCTAGAGGAGTTCATCAGCAGGAGGTCCTGCCTGACCCTGACTGCTGGCCATGGCCATGTACTCTCCCTGGTTTCTACCAGCCTGCCGCCCTGAGCCTGAGGGAGGGGTGGGGCCCGGCAGGAGCATCCTCTCGGCTCAGGGGGGAGCGGGTCTCAGAGGCTCTGCCAGGGACGCAGGGCAGCTGTCTAGCTGACGAAGGCGGCAATGGTGACCACCTGCAGGGCCGCCTCGAGGCCATGGAGAGCCAGGCGCGTGGCACTCAGGGCTGTGTCCGCCCACAGCACCAGGGTCTGCCAGCGCAGGAAGTAGGTGGAGAGGAGGCCTGAGACCACTGTCAGTAGCAGGCTCACGGCCAGCGGCCCCTCGGCTTCTGTCAGGTTACCCTTGGTGCCTGTGGAGGGGAGAGGAGGCCTGAGACCTGGCTGGAGGCCGGCCGGCTGGCCAGGCACTCCGCAGGTGAAGGTGGACGACTCTCGGTTCTTCACCTTCGCCTCCTTCAGACCGCTCAGCCTGACAGCCCGGACCTGAGACTCCAAGCACAACCATCCTACCTGTGGCTACAGGGGTGTACCCCTGCCTGAAGAGCTCGGGTGGGGCACCCTGTTGGCTGGACCACAGCTACCGCCCCCCCCCCCCCCCCCCCCCCCCCCCCACAGAGCCACAGGCCAGGCCAGAAGGGGCTGCTTCCCTGGGGGGGACACAGGTCCCCTGGGAGGGGAGAGAGAGCCCAGGGGAGGCGGGTCTGCCCCATCCCCACTGGGGCTGTTCAGGGAGGGGATCGCTGCTTCCGCCTAATACACAGAGCACAGTGTGCGGGAGAGCGGCTGCGGGACTCGCCAGGAGCGTTTTACAGTGGGCATGGCCCAGTGTGCTCCACACACACAGATCCACCGAGTGGACTGACCCCCCGGCTGGTGTGGTGGGGGAGGGGCCAGGCACTAGGATGTCCCTTCCGGTCAGTCCCCGCAAATGACAACTCTGGGCCACCTGTAGGGGTAAGGCTCCTGCCCTGGGGTGGGCGGGTAGCATAGCATAGGTAGAGGAGGGCTTTGGGGGTGGCAGGCTCTAACTTTGCTGTGCCTGTTTCCTCACATTAAATGGGGGTGGGGTGCTGACACCTCCTGGGAAGTGCCTGCTGATGTTGGAACTGTCACCTGTCCAACATCCTGGTCGCTCTGAGGCTCACTGGCAGACGGGGGGTGGGGGTGGGGGTGGGGGGGGTGCGCGGGGACCAGGAGGCGGAGCCAGGTGGCAGGTAAGCAGCATCGGGCATTGCTTATTGCTTCTGTGCTGCTTGAGCCTGCACCAGCTGTAATTCCTGGCTGGGCTGAGGGGCGGGAGGGTGCACGGCCCGGACCTTGGCTGTCATGGGCCGCCTCAGTCCTGGTGCAGTGAGGACGCACCCCCACACTGCCCGGCTCCATCAGCCAGTGCATCGTCCGAGAGTAGCGTGAGCACCCTGTGAGCAGTGCAGCAGGAAACCCCAAAGGCTGGGGGCCCACCGCAGATGTCTCCTCTGTTCACTCACCCAAGTACAGCCCCAAAGCTTCCAGCACCCCCGCTGTCACCAGCAGAGCCAGATCGAGGACCAGGTAGCGCTGTGGGTAGCTGAACACCTGACCTGGAGCAAGGACAGAGGAGATGCTGGGTGGCCAGCCAATGGCCCCGCCCCCAGCCAAGCCCACACCCCTCGTTCTGACAGAGCCCAGGGACAGAGTAGCCAGGATGTAGGGGTGGCAGGCCCTGCCCTCTGCCCTCGCAGCCAGCCAGGCAGGAGGTGGAAGGCGCAGAAGGCCCAACCCCTCACTCTTGTAGAGCAGCAGCAGCAGTGTGGCCAGGAGGTGGAAGGCGCCGAAGGCCCCGCTCAGGTACAGCAGCATCTGCAGGGGCACCGAGGAGAGCTGGGAGCAGGCGGTCAAGGAGGCAACTCGCAGAGCTGCGCCCTCCCAGGGCCCCTGCTGGGTTGCCACGCACATACACACAGGTCCAGCTGGGTTCGTTCACATACCTGCACCCATGGGGGCATCCCAGCCCACCTTGCTCCTGATGGGTCCATGGGTCCCAGGACAGGCTGCCGGGCACAGAAGAAGCCCTCCTACTCCCAGGGCCACCCTGCACACACACCCCACATGCATGCCCACCAAGTGACCCTTTCAATTGACATCACCCCCTCCCCACCAGCTGGAGCTCCGTGGAAGGCCACTGCCTAACCTGGCCAATAGAAGCTGGAGGGAAAAATCGAGCACCGGTCCCAAGTCCTGGATGTGCCACACTGACGCCAAGCCCAGCCCTCGACCTCACCTCCTGGCCTTGGGAGACGCGGCACCCCTTCCCCACTGTCCCTGGCGGCTGATGAAGGGTTATCTCCCTGTGAGGGCTATGCTCTTAATCCCTGTGCGAGCTCCTGCCCCCAGAGACAGTCCCGACATGTTGGGCTGAAGGAGGTGGGGAAGGAGAGGTGGAGAGCAGCTGGAGGCCCGGCCAGGCCCAGCAGAAGGATACCACTGTGGAGGGGCTGCCTGCAAGAGAAAGTGTCAGTGAGTGTGGCCAGCAAGCCCACAGGGACACCGAGACCCTGCCCTCCACCACCTCTCTATCATGGGTCCCACGTGGACCTGCCCGCCAGGGGACACCCCACCTCTGCGGCCCAGGCTGAGGCTCACAGCTCTCCTCCCCGTTTCTCTCTCTCACGTGCAGGCCTCTTGTGATCCCGGTCTACAAGAAGCAGTTTCCACCACTGATACTATTTGCTTTCCTATGAGGTTTTATTGATTGCTCCAAATATCCTTCCCCAAATAAGAATTTCCGGAAGGGCAGTCTGCCTTTGCATTGTGCAGTCACGAACCTTTAGTGGCTGTGCCCCAGGCCTGACGTCCCTCCTTTGGGATGACTGGAGACATGAGTGAGGGAAGCCGCCCTCCCCACCCCCCCATCAGACAGTTCCAAGTTCGAGGCTATGCACTTGAGACACTGGTCCTGGGAGCGCCTGTGGCCATGTTTCCTGCCTGGGTTGGGGGCATGGCCGTGGCGGGAAGCACATTCCCCAGAGCCCTGAGTCAGTGCACACACTATCTGGGGGCCCCAGTGGAGCTCTCAGGGGCAGAAAGGGAAAGCTGGCCCAGAGGCCTCTGCTGTGGCTCCTGTGGGGAAGGGGCCTGGTGTGTGTGTGTGTGGCACTTCACAGCAGCAGTTCTGGAAGCCAAGGCCAACTCCAAGGGCAGGTGGCCCTGACTGGTGGGCATGACTACCTGGACGCCTGAAGTTGTTTCTCGGACCCCTCCACTGTGTGTCAGCTTGCCCTGGGGGGGGGGGGGCGATATTTCAAATTCATTTGCCAGCTGCCTGTTGTGGCAGACTGGAGGGGCGGACAGCGGGGAGAATGGGAGAAACCCTTGACCGGGCCTTCAGTGATTCCCACAAGGGGGGCAGACTCTGATAGGCTGCTCCAGCCTTGCAGGGCTCCAGCCTCAGCCTTCCTGAACCAACAGTGGGGGTGACTGACTATTGGGCGCCTGGCTGGAATAGGTGGGGCAGAGGTGAAATGTGGCACTAAAAACGACACCCACCCACCCCAACCCCCAACCCCCGGCCTCTGAGCTAAGCTGCCAGGTGTACGACCAGCTCCTGAGCTGGCTTTGGGCTTTGTCAACAACCCCAACCTAATTCAGTGCAGCCCTCCTGGAAGTGCACCTGCCTCCACTCCCACAACTCTTCAGTCTCCCCATGGGGGTCCAGTGGGAGCCAGACATGTATAAGATCGGGTGGACCCCACCGTGGACAGCGAATGTTCCACGGCTGTGTGGATGGTCACCCTGCCCGCGCGACCTCCAGTTACAGTGCGAAGGAGCACTGAGAGGAGAGGGGCCCTGGTGCAGCAGAGGTAGCACACTTTCGGGAGCTGTCATGGGTGAGCTGCTAGTCAACAGCTTGGACCTGCCTGGCACTGCAAGGGGAGAGGAGGCTTTCTGCTCTCAGAAACCCACAGGGCAGTGCTCCTCGGAGCTCTAAGGTGGCTGTGAGTCCGCATGGACTCGATGGTCAGTGGTGGATGGGGTTAGTGGAGGCTGGGTGGGGAGGGGCACGAGTGCCATGCCTCTCTGCCCGGGAGCAGGTGCCTGGCTCTGTTGTACAAGGGGTCACTGAGTGGGAACGGGCAGCACCCAACACCTCTGCTGAAAACGCCACTGGGGTCAGGCTGTGAAGGAAAAGCCGCGCTCAGCCCCTTCAGAGGGAGGGGAAATGGAAATGGTGTGCGGCCGGGCAGAATGGCCAGCAGACCCCTCTGGCATGATGACGGCACGAGGGTTCGTGTAGGGCAGTGGTTGCCAACCTTCCTAATGCCCCACCCTTTAGTACAGTTCATGTTGTGATGACTCCCAACCATAAAGTTATTTTTGTTGCTACTTCATAACTGTAATATTGCTACTGTTATGAATCGGGCGACCCCTGTGAAAGGGTTGTTCGACACGCAAAGGGGTCTTGACCCACAGGTTGAGAACCGCCGGTGTAGGGGCTGCTCCCTCTGCTTTCTAAGGCTGTAATTCTGACAGTAGCTCGTGGCCTCTTCTTTCTCCTGCAGGGCAGCTGTAGATTCGAACCGCCAAGCTTGGGTTAGCAGCCCCGTGCTTCATTCCCAGTGCCACCACGGCTCTTAACTCTGAGGACAAGGGCCCAGCGATTTTCAGTCGTAAGCATGTCAGGGGCTTCAAAACGTTTGGGGAAATCCCATTATCCTTTCATTCCATTTTTTCAGGGACTGTTGGGGGTCCCTCCTAGACCGGCCAGCGAACTACAGCCATGCCCCCCACACTGACAGCTGTGCACAAGATGAACCTGCAGCAGCACCCACCGAGGCCCCAAAGTGGACACAGCCCAGTGTCCCTCCGCAGAGGAAGGGATGAGCAGTGTACACACGACGGGGCCTCCTTCCGAGACAAACAGCCCAGGAGAGGAGGAATCGGAATAGCAAGTCCAGAGTGAGGGCACGGAGGTGGGCACGAGGACAGGAGAGAGGAGTGAAGGGGCCAGAGAGAGGCATGGGGAAGTCGGGGGTGGGCACGGGGCAGCGGAATGGGCCTTTGAGGGGGTGGGCACAGGGGAGTACGCACCGATGGAAACGGGGGCGTGGGCATGGAGGAGTGGCAGTGTGGGCATGGGGGGAGTGGGCACACGTGGCCACGAGGGAGGAGACTCAGGGCTTCACTTCGGGGGGTGGAAAGGTTCCGCAGGTAGGTAGCACCGTGGCCGCGCAGCTCAGAGACAGTGCGACACACCCGCCCAGTAACTACAGGAAGAACACTGCAGCGCCCGGCTGGCCCGAACGTCCTACCAGTCCCTGGGGTCCCCGCGCGAGGCCGCGCCGCGCCGCGCAGACCCGCCCCCGGCCGGCCCGCATCACGGCTCCGCGGCCTGCGCGGCGAAGCCCGCTCACCTCGCCTCGCGGCCGCCATCTTGCCCCGCCCCCTCCCGCCGACTCCGCCGCGATCCCGGCAGCCTCTCGGCTTCGCGCTCTTCGCTGCTCTTCGGCCATTTTCGCTTCTGTTCCCGAAGGAGCCCGACCGAGCCGCGGTACAAGGAGTTGACAGCCGAACCGGGGCCGAGGCCCGAGGAGTCTGTCCGGCAGTGCTCGGGCACTTTCGGACAGGAGGCGGTGAAGCGCCGAGCCTCGGGAGGATTCGGACTCGGGAATATTCGGCCGAGCTCGGCTCAGCCTCGGGGGTGGGGGCGGCGGGGCTCGGGCCCGGCTCGCGGCGGGGCCGGCCAATCCTCCGGCACAGGCTTTTTTTCCCGCCGAGGCCAAGCTGTGTCTGAGGACGGCAAGTGCCAGCCCCGGTCGACCCAGTCGGGCGGAGGCGGCAACGTCCTCAGCCCTGTAGGCCCTGAGGGAGGCCGGAGCGGAGCCGCTCGGAAACTCTCGTGTGGTCTCGGACTAACTCGGGTTTTCGATTCGGAGAGCTTCGGCTCTCTTCGGTGGCGGCGCCTTGGCCGTCGGCTCCACTGGGCCGCTTCGTGGCGGTTCGGCCCTTGTTCCGGCTGGGCGCTTCGGGCGGGCTCGTCTGGCCTCGGCAGGTGTACTCGGGCGGCCTCGGCTCGGCCGGGCGATTGTCTTCGGGAAGACTCGGCTCGACTCGGAAGTCACTTCGCGCGGCCTCGGCTCCGCTCGGCCGGGCTCGGCGTGCGCTTTCGCGAGGCCCCGCTTTGGGCTCGGGGC